TTTGGTATTGGGGATCAAACTCAGGTTGCTGCGCTGGCAAGGCAGGCGGCAGAACTGCTGATCCAAATCCCCAGCCCTACAGTGAATGTTCTTGTATCTTCTCCCCTTCGTGCACGTGAGCACATCTCTTGGGTGAATACATAGAGACAGATTTGCTATGCTAAAAGGGTACCAGATTATAATTTTCCAAGATCCTGACAAAATGCTCTTCAGAGTGGTAACACCAGTTTACTTTCCCTCCAACAAGGTAAGAGAACCCCCCACATCCTTAGAAATGCCTCATAGCGCCAGATGTTACCCATTTTGTCAGCCCAGTGCATTTCGGATTCCTTGTGAGAGGAGCAGTCTTCACATGTTTCTTGGTGTGGAGGTTTTCCCTCTGTGAATTGCTTGTTAGTAACTTCACTGGCTTCCTTTCTAGACCCATGATTCCTTCTTTATGATAGCTAAGGCATTTCTTAGGGGCCGGATTTCCTGGCGGGTTAGAGCCTAGCAGCCACAGTGTGGACATCTCTACAGGCGCAGCCTAGGAGGGGCGTCTTCGGATTCTGCTGTTGGAGGGGCCCTTTCCAACCTCAGTTTCCATTCCTCGTCTGGCATTTCCATTTTGACCAGGAGCAAAGCTTATCAAGAGCATTCTCCTTCTGCTGTGGGGGAGAATTCTCTGTGACCACATTTCATAATTTTACACGGTTCTTCAATCAAATCTCTTGTCTGATCCCACAGCCAAGAATAGTCGTGCTTTGCGTTGCTTAACATCTCTCTGGCTTATTTTCATCTCATGAATATTGTGAACTTATCACTGACTAAACTTACTCTATTTCTTTTTCTTGGATATTGATGACAACAAGCTTAGAATTAAATTTTTGCCCTTTCCTAAAATGTATGTTATGTTTTGAAACCTAAGTGCTGGCCCCACTGATGTCTCTACTTTGACTTTTATTCTATGTCTGTTTGTTGGATCATTGTATTTTGTTTCGTACAGTCTGAAAGTTTGTGATTTAAAAATCGGGTTAAAATAAAAGAGAAGTAAAATAAAGAGAATAAATAACTGAAAGAAAAGTGCAAGTCAAGATGGTGCTTTGTGCCATAGGGGTGGTTCAGGTACCTCCTGAGCACCAGGCACTTGTCCTAAGCTTGGAGCACACAGGGTGATGCTCCTAGAGGGGGATGCAGGCTTCTCTGCGATTTCTGAGAAGTGATAGGCCCCGCGCTTGGGAGGAGGGATGACCTGAAGGTGACTCCAGAGGAAGCTATCCAGCGGCACGAGAAAGTGTTGAAAGGACTCAGGACTCCCAGGAATGCCGTTCTTATTCTGAGGTTATTTGGAAGAATGAGATCACTTTGGTCTCTCTTGAAAGTGCGAGTGCGGTGAGAATCTGAGAGATGGTCTCTAAAGTATGGTGATTTTGAAATATTCATAAAAACTTGAAAATTGAACATTTGGTGCAAGTCTTAAAATGTTTTCTTCTGTATCTGAAGTGAGGGAATTGTCTGTTACTAACTTTCCTGGCTTCCTTCTTGCACATGGCTGAAATGTGAGGCCCTGGAAGAACCAAGATCTCTGAGAGGTAGTTGCCCTCCTGTCTTGAAAGCTGCTTTTATATGTAGCTGGGGATAGTGTTGGTTGCATCATTTTAAAATTATTTCTCTTTGGTGTAATTTGTACTATGAGAGAATTTTTTCTTTGTTTTAATTTTTTTTTTAATTTGCCCAAATCCTTATTGTACGTCTTGCAATCACTTTACTTTCTCCACTAGTTAGAAGGGATCTATAGATGCTGTGTGCTCTCTCACTTAATATTTTTTTCATTTTAATTGGTTATTAACAGCAGGGCTACTTATTTGTTTTCAGTGTCTTGACTGAAATTTATCAGCCAGCTGGGGATTTAGCTCAGTAATTCTGGTGCCTGCTTTGCAAGGGCAAGGACCTGAGTTCGATCCCCAGTACAAAACAAAAAACAAAACAAAGAAACTTAAGAAATATATCAGCTAACTGTTTTCTCAAAAAGGAAAGGGGGGGGATTCATTCTAGCATAAATTTCTGCAAGTTCCTTGTAATCCCAAGTGTTTTCAGTTTGATCATGCATCCAGCCATCCATCCATCCATCCACTCACTGTCTGTCCATCCACCCATGCAATTATCCATCCTTAGAGTACCTGTCTTATACAAGGGGCCAAGTTAAGTGGTATGGTATTAGGAGTTATTCGTCTTTGCAGAAATTATGATCTAAGAAAATTCATAAGAGATAGGTACTTTTATAACTGGTAATGGATAGGACATTCTAAGGTAGTAGTTTAGCTGTGTGTTTGCATTAATGGGGACTTTACTGATTGCAAGTGACAGAATAAAGATTATACATTGGTTATTGATATGTAGCTTCAGAGATGGCTGGATCCAAAGACTCAAGTGGTAGTTATTTTTTATATCTCCTTAACACTTGTCTTTCTGTATGCTGACCTCATTTTTAGACGGTCTCTTTCCTTACGGCAGGAGATTTCCCCTTAGAAACCCAGGCCTGTACCATGCTTCAGCTACGAACCCAGTAAAGGAGAGAGAATCCCTCTCTCTGTCCCAGCATTACGTTGTTTAATCTTAGGGGGGATTCTCATCGGTCGGCTGAGTTGAGTTTATATACAGATCTCTAAGCCCATCACGGTCAATGGGAGAATTATCTGTCTGGCCAGAGCCAGTGGTCTCCTTCTGCATTTGACCGTTTGAGAAGTAGGTCGGAGAAGTGATTCCTACAGAGAATACACTGGGGCATGTGGGGTTTGTGAAATGTGGTCCCCCAGAGGAAAAACTGGATTTATTACTGTAAAAAGCAGCAAAAGAAGAGGCTGGAGTGGGGAAAGAGAGAGAGGGAAGGGAGGGTGCGAAGGAGAGATGGGTGGGAGGGAAGGGAGATGCCTTCAGTGTTTCAAGAGGTGGACGGAGGAGGTGACTGTGTCTCCTGGGACTGAGCCGGACGCGCCCTTCCCATCATTACGAGCACTCCAGCAACCCCGTGGCTGTCCCCGAAGGGTGGGACGTGTCTGAGAGGACACTTCCAGGGGCCACCCACCTTGGCACACTGGTGAAACCTGGAAGGAGAGGAAAACTGACTCTGCCAGGTGAAGGAGTGCTCAAGGATGACGGAAAATACAAAGCCGTGAAACCTAGTCTGCCATGATTTGTTCTCAGTCCTGCAGCGCTTTACTGTCCTCACTGTATTAGATAAACGATAGGGCCGGGGTGTATGGGGTTGGGGTGGAAGTTCCTTGACCTTCCTTAGTACCACCTGCATCCGGAGTCACTGCTGTTGCCTCTCTGCTTTGTTGCAGTTTCATTGCAAATCAGAAGAGGCTAGAAATCATCAATGAAGATGACGTGGAAGCCTTCGTGGGACTGAGGAACCTGTGAGTACTTTGTGCACATTATCTCAGAGATCTCTCGTGCTTTACTTCAGCCAGGCGGGCATTCACCGGTTAGTTCTAATGCACATGTAATTATGTATTTTCATAGGACAATTGTGGATTCTGGATTAAAATTTGTGGCTTATAAAGCGTTTCTGAGAAACAGCAACCTGCAGCACATGTAAGTAGAGAACTGATTTTTGCTTACCAGGATCCAATTTATTCAGTGTTTTCTCCTTTTTATTTTCCTTCTTTTCCAACTCTGAACCTCCTTTTTCAAAGTTAGTATAGCTGCGATAATAGCCTAGAAACATTAGCTTCGATTTTGTTTGATTTCTGAGTGGCTCCAGAGGGGTACTTAGAACAGCCTGTTTATTCCTTTTCATGAATTTCTGGTCCATTTCCATCTTGGACAGAGCAATAGGCCAACAGCAAGGAGTCTGATGTGAAAACTATGTCCTTGTACTGAGCCCTCAATTTTTTTTTTTTTTACTTGGAATTAGACATGCTTCCTGGAAGACATCAAACTAGTGGAACTGAAAGGAGCTGACTTGGCCTAGGCACTTTTATGGAACTAAAAATTACTAATGCTGTTTCCCCCTACAAAAGGCCATCTTTGGAGCTGCACCACAGCCTGCCATGATGGATGGATAAATATGGAGAAAAAAATCAACGATGAGACAGGCTAAAGGTTCAGACTTTTATTAACAGTAGGGAATGTTTGCCCTGAGGTCAGGTTGATACTTTGTTGACTGAATGTCAAGTGGAACTACAAGAATGTTTTGATGCTAAATTTTCTAAATGATGCTAGTTAAGCCGATAAGGGATGGCCTTGCAGAGAGGCTTCTTCATGAAACAGGTTACCCATGTGAAGAAAGCCCTTGGACCCCTACGCCCAGAGTGGTGTCCCCGCCTCCTGAGTGTTTAGTGTGAGTTCCTGCCCGAGGACTGTTAGCTGCATTCGTTTGTTCTTGCATACAGTGCTCACCTGGGTTATCTCACTTGATTTTTATTTTTGGATGATTGTGAAAAATGACCTTTTTTATTCCTACTTCATACACAAAATCAGTCTGAGGATGTTCTAGAACTTGCCCCAGTGGTAGAATTGTTGCTCAAGGGCTAGCTAACCTCTCTCTTTGTTCTTTCAAGAGCACAGGAAATAAAACGTGTGCCGTTTGTACTATTAGAGAACCATTCCTGCTTAATAACATTTGTCCTTGGGAGAACAGTTCCCTGACTGATTTCCATGGCAATTATAAAAGAAGTCATTCTCTGGGAGCAGATTGCCAGTATATTCTGTAGAGATTTGTTGATACTATGAAAATCCTTAATTTCATAAAACCAATATCATGACTTCACATTTTAGGTGGAATTAATGGTGAAGTCATTTTAAGGATAAACTCTGTACAGGGGTGGGGATTAGCTCAGTGGTGCCATGCCTGCCTTGGAAGCACATGGTCCTGAGTTTGATCCCCAGTACTGGGGGAAAAAAATAAAGTCTGTACAATTAAGATATAAAACACCCTGCACAAACACGATAAAACTCTAAGGAACCTCATTAACACATTTCACTTTTAAGCTTTTTGACATCTCTCTAGCATGTTCAAATTTGATGTCTGTCTGAATAGGGCCTGGTAGCATAAACGAAGGAGAAGTTTGAGTAGATGAAAAGGGCAGGATGCTCTAGCACCCTCACTTGGATGTAATAGGTGACCTCAGTGGTTAAGTGCTAGTATTCTCATTAAGGATGACCTTAGGCCCACATTACTCAGCACCCACATTTTACGGGTTGGTTGCTCACATCTCCTGAGGCTGTGACTTGAACAGTGGGCTCTGATTCACTGTACTTTTCATAGACTTTGATAGTTCTTCTGCCTTGATATATTCCATAATAATTTTAACAGATGTGGTACACAGTTGTACCTGGATAGAGCCAACTGTGTGCCCATTTCCCAAGGAGGTATTTTTCTTGGGAAGTCAACCACTGATCAAATGGAAAAATCTCTACTGACATTCATAGCTCTGTAGTTAGCTGAAATAAAACTAGGTAAGTGTTTAGCAGTCATAAAGTGGCCCGATGTCAGTAAGCTTCACATAGTCACTGGGCAGAAGAGGTTCCTGTTTGCCAAGATATGGGATTAGGTTGAGGAGTCTGCTCTTGAGAATGGCAGGGAGGCGTAGGGGACCTGGTGGGGTGTCTCCTTGTCCAGCTGAACTGATGACTGAGGGCTCTGGGGACCAGCTTGCTCCCCGACTCCTCATGTGGCATCTTGACTCAGCTATCAACATGCAGGGGTGCCAGGGAGTGGAGAAGGAAATGTGGGTTGAAATCTTTCTCTCTACCCCTCAGGTATATTGATTATTTCCTTGAGTTTTCCCAACCACATGAAAACATGCACAAGATCAGTCTCTTTCATCCCAGGTTTCGGTAAAAGGCACATTGGGTCTCCTCACTCCTCTCCCCGCCCTGTCACGTCAGTGATATTTTCTGACTGTCCAGAGCCCCAGTGACCGATCCTTCAGTGTATCTCTTGGTGCCTCTAATTTCTGTTCAGACCCACAGAGCCCCGGGGCTATGAGAAAAGCCAGTGTTAGTATTTTCCAGGGGCTTTGCCGAGGTGCCAATTAGCTCCTTAAAGTTCTATAATCAAACAGTAGGTGGATGGCTGATTTTTTTCTCCTTCCTTCTTCCTCCTTTTTGGCTTTTTGCCCCAGTAATAAGTACGGTTCATAAAGCTCATCTTGTTCTTTGGCCCATGACGTGCTCTGCGCTGTGCTGCGCTGCTGGCAGCCGGACAGAGGCAGCTGCTCCTGGCAGGTGGCAGCCAGCTTGCTGACAGGGACCTGTGCACAGTTCAAGTCTGCTTTCTTTGCTTCCAGCCCCCTCCCGCTTTCTGTGGTAGAGGAAGAGCAGGGTTTTTTTCCTTCTTTTCTTTTTTTGCAGAAGGATGGAGATTTCTGATAGAAGTTAAAACATTTCTCCAGTAAGAACTGGGAAAGAAAGACAGGCAGGTTGACTTCTCAACATTGTGTATGCCAGGGAAATCCATTCTTAATTCACATTCCAAGAGGAGAGGTTTCTGTGTGCGCCTTTCACACTTCCCAGTGGGTGTTAACGCCCTGTGGGGGGGTCACTTTGCCCTCAGAGTGAGGAAAGGGGTGCAGGCATAGAGAGAAGGAGAGGAGCCTGCTGTAGGCAGGTTTTGGCCAAGTTGTTGAATTGTGAGATCCCACGGTGGCAATTCTTTATTCAGGTGTCTCGCTTAGCTCATGCATAGCTCCTTGGTTTCAGCCTCTCTGACAGTGACCGCCAGACACATGAGGACACTTCCCCCGATGATGTCCTCCAGCTGACACAACAGTCTGGCCTTAGGGGAGGAACAGGATTGCTGTCACCTCAGAGATCATGTTTCATCCGACTCAAAGTCCAAGCTTGCTTCCCTGAGCAGGAAGAAGACACTAAAAACTTCATGGGTTTGCTCTTGTTGGTCAAAGACTTGGCTGTTTTTGTGACAGTTGTTGTTTGTTTTACACTCGTTTTACTTATGTCCAGAGGCCCAAGTATTGGACACACTTTAAATAAGTTCAAATAGTAAACAAATTCCCAGAGTGAATGAACTGCCAGACCTGTGACCGTGAATTTCCCATCTCAAGGGTATCATGGCCTTAAACATTGGAAGCTCTCATCCATCAAATATGACCGTCCAAGTATGATTTGGGAGGTGCTGGGAAATTCATTACTATTTTTTAACCACAAATATACCATCTTTTCATTGTCTTGTTGCTTTGCATCTCAAGATTGTACATTGCTAAACTAGTTCAGGATAAAATCTGATGTATTTCTTGTTTTTAGAATTTTTCCTACTCTCATCGTAAGATTATTAGCTTATTTAGGGCACGTATAGTCTCACCAGAATCTATCAGTCAGTAAGTGTGTTCTTTCCTGCAATGCCGTATTAAATTCACAAGGTTGTTTAAAGCATCTGTTCCCCCAGTGAGCCTATAATTTTAATTTTATTCATTTTACTTGGTCTTCTAATAGTTTTTTTCCAAAAGTCAGGATCTCTATGAGGCATATAGTTTGATTCTTAATGCACATATAAAAAGGGACTAACAGCATGTGTACATACACACAAAATATATACTCTCTCCTCCCTAACAAGCAGAAACTACGGGGAAGATAGGGAATATAGCAAAGCTGTTATTCCAGGTGAAAAAGAGGCAGGATGGGGTCTAAATAAAGCTTGAACCATCCAGGACAAAGTAAACTTATATTTTGAAAACAAAATTTTTATCTGGAAACATTTCTTCTAAAATGCAACTTTTTAAAGTCACTCTTAAATGTTTTTGATTCATTTCAGCAATTTCACCAGAAATAAACTGACGAGTTTGTCTAGGAAACATTTTCGTCACCTTGACTTATCTGAGCTGTAAGTAATGATTTTGTTTGATGTTTGGGGGAAAGTTTTAAAAGAAAGAAATAATTACTGCTATTTTTACATGCGTGAGGTTGCATGTCTACATTAGAATTCCTGAGAAAGTTTCTTGAGTTTTGGCTTCTTATTCTTTCATTCACTCAGGAAAACGTAATTCAGTATCAAAATAGAAATCCCAATGGTGACATATCATTTATGATAAATTTAAATGCTATGTTCATATAAATAATTTATCTTACAATGGAGGGTTAAGATTAAAAAGCAGAGGGATTTGCATTAAGATAGATCTGTGTCTCATAGTGTCTGTTAGGTTTCTGTTGTGTCTGAACCCTAATAAAAGCAAACTCGTCAGAGTGGGGATGACAATGGCCACAGTGGTCCCAGCTTTGTCCTTCAGTGCCAGCTTGGGCGCTGTGAATGTTGGAGGAGAGGTTTCCTCCCTCCCTCACCGTCTTAGTGAGATTTTCTTCTAGGTCTGCCACTGTGTTCAATATTTATCCTTATGTCCTAATTTCCTCCGCTTAACATGGTAGGAAAAACATTGAAATGTGTTGATGACTAACAGTGAGCATTTCCAAGAGTGCTCAGTGTTTGGTGCTGTCACGGTGGAGCAGATAGGAGCTGCTGCCATTCCTGCTGGTGCAGTGCTTGAGAGAGCACAGGTGGACGCTCTGTGTGCACGCGTGGCCGGAAGGGTCACGGCTTTTGATGTCAGGAAGTGACTTTTGCTTGCGGTGTGTTGCCCGATCTTGGCATCTTTTTCATGAAAATCCATTCTTATTCATGAGAAAATTGGGCAGAGTTAAAGACCCACTAGCAGTAGAGTGGCATAGGGACTAAATGGTGATAGCCTTGATGACTGCCAATTATTTGGAATAAACTGAATTCAGGGAAGTGGAGTATTCATGTTTATTCTTTCAAAGATAATTTTAATTAAGACATAATTTTAGATATTTATGGGCTACAGTATGACATATGATATAGACATGAAAAATGAAAGATGTATAATACAGAATTTAAAGAACTCAGTGTGAAAACGTTGAACCTCCAAGCATAATATTTACAGGGTGGATTAAAAATTAAGTTTCATTCCAAATCCATGGCTCATTGTTCTCCCTGTAGCATATCAAATCTAGTCACTGAATAAAGGTCAACTGTGTATTTGCTACGTATCAGAATGACTAGGTCATGGATCTCTGAGGACAGCAGTTTCTGTGGCGAGGATTCTGTTTTCCAGCAGGAGAGACAGAAGTGGTGGAAGGCGCCGTGACAGTCATTGTGCAAGAAGTGTGCTCAGTGGGTCAGGGGAAGGAGCCGGCTGCCTGCCAGCCTTGTGTGGTCATGTGAACACTGCCGTTTTCGTGATTACAGCACCCTTTTGCTGCTTTGTGTCATCTGCTGATTTAATTATAACCCTCCTTTGACAAAGATTCTAGGTTTCTATGTTTTCAGAGCTCTAGGAAGCATCTTGGATTACTGGGGTTTAAACAATGTGGGTCTCTTCAGCACTTCATTCCATTTCTCACCGTGTCAAACCCTGTCTCGGTATTGGTGGGATACGTACTGGCGATCAGACAGACACAAATTAAACCAGTCTACCAGGACCACATTTTCCCCAAAGAAACTCACAGAAACATCTCTGGGGATCAGAGATTCTTAGAACCTAACCAGAAAACCACAGGAGTAAATGGCACGGCCAAGCCCAGGTCCTGTCCTCGAAGAAATCTCAAGCACTGCGGTATTGCCAGGCAGTCTATGGAACGATTTTAAATAGGCTCATTTAAGGGCTCATTACCATAAGTGGGATTCATTTTAAATAGGCCACTGAGTATTATAAATAAGCATTTAAAGATTTTTTTCCTGTGGTTTTTATTTTACTTTTGACCACTTCCTCATTCACCCATCATGGACCACAGGAGTCCGGCAGTGTGGCTGAGGCCTACCCCTCGATGGCTTTGGCTTTGCAGACGTCCCTGGAGCAGAGGGCTGCACACTTGCACTAACTCTGGAGCTCAGCACCTTGCCCTCAGAAACCTGGGCTTGCACTATGTGTGCGTGTGTGTGTGTGTGTGTGTGTGAGAGAGAGAGAGAGAGAGAGGGAGGGAGGGAGAGAGAGAGAAGGAGGGAGGGAGGGAGATCTAGCAGTTTCCATCTACCTTGTCCCTCTGAACTTTCTTGCATGAATGAAACAGACTTGGGTTGTATAGTGCAGAGAGCCGGGAGAGCCCACTTCCAGCACTCACACCTGTTTTAGATATCTACTTATAGTTGTATTTAAATTGAGATAAAATATTCCACTGAAATCTGAACTTTCAAACTGACATGCTTGAGTTTCTAGCCTGGTCAGTAATAGGGATGTTGGTATTTCTGAAAATTTATGTTGGCATTTTCACTTAAGTTCTGTTTAAAAACGCTGTAGTACCAAGATGTCTGATTTTCCACAGATGATGAGACATCGTTTCCTACTCTCTATAGTAGCCATTCTGTTCCTATCGTGTTTTTTCCCATTGTTCTGCAAGTTTACCATCACTTTGCTTTCGTTAACTTCTACAGTGTTGGCATATAATGGCAACTCAGTAATTATTGGCTAAGTGAATGAATAATAAGTACCGTTGTCCTTTGAAAGTGGGTGTGCCTTCTGCATGCTGCTGGTTAGAAAGAACTCGTACTATAGTATTTCATGAGCACCAGCTTGGCTGTGACAGCACAACTGTCCTGACTGGGTTTTGTTTTTGTTCCACGTAGGATCCTGGTGGGCAATCCATTCACATGCTCCTGTGACATTATGTGGATCAAGACGCTCCAAGAGACTAAATCCAGTCCAGAAACTCAGGATTTGTACTGCCTAAATGAAAGCAGCAAGAACATTCCCCTGGCAAACCTGCAGATACCCAATTGTGGTAATTTATTTTTAAATCAATGAGTTCTAGTTGCTTTTAATTCTTCTAATTGCCTTGTTGTGGTAGAAAGTCTGGGAGGATTACCACTCCCCAATTTTGTATAGTGTGCTGTTGATGTCTCCAGTGAATCAGACATTTATGTGCAATGTGGAGAAGCCAACTGGGAGCAACTTTATCGGTAGTATTCTTTGCAAGTAGAATACTGATTCTAAATGGAAGACTTTAAAAGTGCTTAGAGAAAAAAATACAGTGCTTATCACTCCATCCACCCATCCACCCATCCATCTGTCTAGTCATTTGTCCATCCAAAAGCTACCCGCTGCGAGAGTTTCCCATGCAGGTCACATCTCCACTTGGTTGGCGCCCAGGCCACGCACAGGGGCCAATCTCAGCATGGTGAAACGCTCGGCAGCGTGAATCGCCGCAGTTCGCCCAGCGCATTCTCCGAACCTCGTCACGTTGCCAGCTGTCCGTGTCTCTTGGCTCTTGATGTGGTGCCCACATCTGTCCTTACACCCGCCTGTCCTTAGGAGTGGGTTCAGAGCCTCCTGCTTTACTGCTGCTCTCTGCTCCTCTCCTCAGTGTTTTCAACTCCAGAATTTAAAAGGACACCGTATGGCAGAGTTGCAGCTCTACGCAAGAGCTGGCGCGTTGCAGGAAAGGGAAAAAGTCGACCTCTGGTTAGGACTTTCCTGACTCTGACATAGCTCCGCAATACCTACCAAAGCGGGTTCTTCCTCATTGAAATTTTAATCAGTTAATCAACCAGTTAACGAAGTCGCAGACAGTTGTTTGCTCTTCCGGGCTAGGGGCTGGCGACCCAGCAGAAAGCCATGAGAAACCTGGTTTTCCTGTACAGGCATTTGTATTAGCCACAGTCAACTGAGTGTTTTTGGCAAGGTCCACTTTTATTTGACAAAATATACCTGCTACTTAGTCTTAATGCACATTAATTACAAATGTAGTGAGGTGCACATTTATTTTTGATGTAATAAAAACAAATTTGAGTGTTTGTTTCTTATCCTGAAGGACCCTAGAAAATAAAACCTTTTTCAGGGAATTTTGTCACAAGCGGAGCCCTTTGGTTTCATCACGGGGGTAAATGGGCTTTGTTCTCTTTCTCAGCTCTCTCTCTGCTAACTGACAGTTAAAAAAAAACAACCCAACTTTTAACATATATCTTTTCCTGATTGCTCTTCTCTGTTCTGGTACAGATTCGTACCGTTGAGAGAAATCACCTAGGGGGACGTGAAATTCGTTGTGAAATCACCTGGCCCGTGTGGTGGCCACACTCGTTCAGCAGCCAAGGAGGGGGAGAGAGAGAATAGCTGACTCTCATTTCACAAGCTGCCTTTAGCAGGTGTCTCCTCTGCCCTTGCCTGAAACCAGTTATGTTTTTTTCGGTGCTCAGTTTTGGCTGTGTTGGCTCCGTGCCGTGCAGGTGGTGACCCCATCTCATGCGTTGCCAATGGGCCACTGTAGTTCAGGGAGAGACCCTCTACTCACATTTTCAATAACTTGTTATTTCTTTATTCTATAAATATCTCAATGAGTTGTATGTATGAGAATGAGACTCTTAGTACACGATCAGGCTGGCTCAGATTTTATTGTCCATTAATACCGAATGGTTGCACTTGTAACACCCATAATTCATTTCAAACAGCAGTATTATAAAATGTGCCAGGTGAATGACATACTTTTTAAAAGCCGCTTTTGTGTTTCTAAACTTTTCTTTTCCTGTTATTTTCTTTCAGTGTGTTTATTTATTTATAATTGTACAGATTGTACTGACACATTTTCTTATAAGAATAATTTCCCGTGTTGCGCACAAAGCTTCCCTTTTTCTTCCTTATGACCATATCGAGTCAGAGGCCACGGGTCTATCATACTCTTTTTAATCGAAGTGTGGTATACATGGGAGACTATGCCTTGATTACATTAAATGTACCACATTGGTGGTATCTTATTTTCCATTTTTATTACTAGATAATGTTTCCACATGCATCCTTACTCGTGATCTTTGTACATAGAACAAGTTCAAACACTTTTGTACAGGATTTTTAGTTTATAAATTTCATGAACGAAAATTTGACTGCATCTATTTCTAGGCTCCTTAGAAATGCTATATAGGTATTTGAAAACTTCTTATTTTGTCTCTCTAAAAGATGTTCTCACTGCTTTCCAGCTTTTCTTTTCCTGATTACTATTGAGTATCTTATGGATGTATTGGATGGTGTTTAGCATCAGTGAATGGCTTCTTTGTATCCTTTGCTTATTTTCTATAGTCTTTTTCCCCTTTATTTTCATCCACAGTGTCCTTTGTCTTCCTTAATTGCTTGAAAATTGTAAAATATATTTCTTTCTATTTTTTGAAAAATATGGAAGGCCAAAATATGTATTGCACATATTTTGACATATATTTTTGTGCATGTGTCTAGAGGTAATGCTTAAAGGATAAGAAAAAGTATTTTTTCTTCCCTGTGATTCTTCTGTCCAATCTTGAACTTCTTATTATCTGGGATTTTATTTTTAGATAACCATGCTGTTTTTATGAAGATTTCCTATTTCTTTGTATTTCATTGACTTTTGCGACCCATGACTTCCTCTTAAAGTGGTTTTCCTTTTGCTGCTATTTATGTTTTAATATTCCTTTCAGAGAAATTGAAAAAAAGTCTCCAATCCTTTGCCTGTTAGAAAATCAGCCTGTACTTTTGCCTCTCACTGAAGCTGGCTGAGTCAAAAATTCCAGGTTCCAAACTCATAGAGATTTTCCCTGGGACGTTCCCACAAGAGGCTGCTCCTCTGGCTAATGTTGGAGACCACTCTTCTTACGGTCTCCTGTTTTCCTACCGCTGGCTCTGTGGCTTGGCCTTGGTGGGCGCTGCCCAGTGCCGCCATCTTTGCCCTCTTGCTATGGGTTGGCCCAGGGCCTCCCTGTTTTGCACAGAGTGTACCTATGTCCATTTGTGGCACTATTGCTTTTCCTTTATTCCATTCTCCTGCTTTTTTCTTATTTGGGGTTTCTCATAGTTTCTTAGCCATCAATGCTGTATCTTTTTAAAAACTGTTTTCTATCTCCTCTAGACATTTAGGATAAGAAAGGGAAGGCTTCAGTTTGGGGTTTGGTCATGTATTAATTTTCGTCATGATGATTTCCCTTCTTTGCTTCTTTAAAGAAAAGTTAGACAATTGAGCAGAGTAACCAGTCACCACTAGTAACCGGCTGCTGTAGAGAGTGATGGCCCCACAGTGAGTATAAGGCAAAAGCTTTCTTGAGGGCTGAGGAACCGTGCCGTTACTGTATAAAATACCCTCAACGGCCCCCCGCACTCACACTGGACTTGGTTCTCCTGGTGTTTATGATAATTTTAATGTTCTGCTTTTCTAATCCGCAGATTTAGTGGAGAGATTGCTTAAGACACACACACACACACACACACACACACACACACACACACATAAGACGTATCATAAAAAGGTACAAGATCCCAATGATAAATGTAACTATTGTTTGCTTCCAATGTACCAATAAACTTCACAGGAAAAAAAAAAGACATATCAACAAAATACTCTCTGACAGCAGAGGTCATGAGAGGATGGGAATTGAGCCCAAGACACGAACACCCAGAACTAGACTTTTGTTAGGGGGACGGGGTGTAGAGGGTGAACAATGGCTAAAGTATTGGACTCAGAATTTTTCTCTGAAATTCCATGTTGAGGAAATCATTTAATAACACACTAACATTTTCAAATTAGATATCTTGTTTAAAATGCTGGGTTCCTGATCAGTTGAGTTTTTCTTTTAAATGTGCTTTTACAACACATCCATTGTATTTAAGCATACCTTTTAGGAGTCTGTGTTCTTTCTACACTTTTTTCTTTTATGAAACTTTTTAGATGACTGAATCAGCTGAGAGCACAGTCGGGTGCGTCTCATCATTGTAAACCACTGATTTGCCCTTGGCTGTGGTCCTACGTTCAGTGTGCCATTGGTATTCCTTTCATTTCAATAACAGACAGCCACTGGGATATCTTTTCTTTTAGTGCTTCCCTTTCGTAGGCATCCTTTATGGTTCCCAATAAATGTAATAGGTTCTTAACCAATGTTGGCTGAATTGATCCATTAATACATGCATGGATCGTGTTATATTAATGAACAGGTTAGACCAGATTTTCATAGAATGTGGGGAATTGTTTCAGTTAATTAAAATAAGTTTAACATATTACTCTAGCCAATCTTTTCCATATTATGACATTTGCTGTCTCCTTTGACATTTCTGTCTTCATTGCGAACGAATCTGTTCATTTTCCTTTAATTTGGAGACGTTAATTAAGCTCGTTGGCTGGGAGGTTTAACTGCCCCATTTCCACCGCAGTCAAAATGCCTCACAACATTTTTTTCAACAGCTCCTATCTGGTGCAGGCGACTAAGTGTATTCATACTGTGAAACAAGATGTGGACTATTTGTCCACAAGTCCTCGCCTTCCTTCCTCGGTCCTTTCCTCTCTTCTCTCTCTCTCTTTTTTCTTTGGTACCAGAGATCGAACTCAGGCCCTTGCACTTGCGAGGCAGGCAGTGGAACCACTGAGCTAAATCCCCAGCTCTCCTCTCTTTCTCCTTCCTCCCTCCCTTCCTCCTTCCTTCTCCCCTGCCCCCTTTCTCTCTCTCTTGCTCTCCACAGGTTCTTACTATTCTTGACTGACCTCGAACTCCAGGTGATCCTCCTGCCTCAGGCTCCCCAGTGCTAAGATTACAGGCACACACCCAGCTATGCACAAGGCTTTTTAAAAATCTTAAAAAAAACATTTTATTAATTGCAAGCCAACAAAACACGCTGTTATAGCTTCCACATTAACTGGTATGAAAGAGTGACAGAGGTGGGATTACATAAGTATTAGGGAGGAAAGCAGATTTGTTCAGTCATGCTGATTCCTGAATCCCTATAGAAAGTCCCTGCTACTTCCTGAGTGTTTTCAGTGCAATTATTATTACCTAGTAC